GGCACTGAATCCTCAGATGACTTTGAGGAGCGGGACCCTGGTGAGGCTGGAAGTGGGTGGAGCAGGGCTGGAGGCAGGGGCAGGGGGCAGGGGGCCGGGACAAGCCTCCCTGACCTCCTCTCCTTTTACCACAGACCTGGGAGATGGGCTCGAGAACGGGTCAGGCAGCCCCTTCCGGAAGTGGACTCTGTCCAGCGCAGCCCAGACCCACCGGCTGCGGCGACTGAGGGGCCCAGCCAAGTGCCGAGAGTGTGAGGCCTTCATGGTCAGCGGGACCGAATGTGAGGAGGTGTGGCCCAGGCCAATGACCCAATGCCCTCTGCCGACCCCCAGTGACCTCCCTGACCCCAGACACCTCCGTGACCTGACATTCCTGTGACCTTCCCATCCCGGGAACCAGCCCTGATCTGATGATTTCCCATGAGCTTCCTATTCCCTAAGGACCCTTACAACCTCCACTTCTCCTGCTGACCTCCCTGACCCTGTGACTTTCCCCCTAGTGCTTTCTGACCTGCCACAAGCGCTGCCTTGAGACTCTGCTGATCCTCTGTGGGCACAGGCGGCTCCCGGCCCGGACATCCCTCTTTGGGGTCGACTTCCTACAGCTGCCCAGAGACTTTCCAGAAGAGGTGCCCTTTGTAATCACCAGGTGCACGGCTGAGATAGAACAGCGCGCCCTGGGTGTGCAGGTGCCACCTTGACCCTTGACATTTGACCATCCCCAGCAATTGCCTGTCCCTCTCCATGACTGGATTACAACCCAGGTGTTAATTTCCCACCCTACCCTGCAGGGCATTTACCGGGTCAGCGGGTCCCGAGTCCGAGTGGAACGGCTGTGCCAGGCTTTTGAGAACGGGCGAGCATTGGTGGACCTGTCAGGGAACTCACCTCATGATGTCTCAAGTGTCCTCAAGCGGTTCCTCCAGGAGGTGGGTACTCAGCGGACAGGGGCAGGGTCTGGGCAGGCTCAGGCTAAGGACCTTCTGTAGCCCACCCTCACCCACGTTCCCTCTGCCATTCCACCCCCAGCTCACTGACCCCGTGGTCCCTTTCCACTTCTACGATGCCTTCATCTCTCTGGCTAAGACCCTGCATGCAAAATCCGAGCATGACCCTGGGACCCCCAGCCCCAGCCCTGAGGTCATCCACTTGCTGAAGGCCCTCTTGGTGCAGCTGCCTGACTCTAACTACAACACCCTGCGGCACCTCGTGGCTCATCTGTTCAGGTGTGCGCTGTCCCTGACCTTGAAACAGACTTCTGACCTGAGGCACAGATCTGTGAGCCCTTCCCTGGACATGTGACTACTGACCCCTGGCCCTGACCTTTGACCCTTGCATGTGTTTTCTGAGCTCTGAACCTTAATATATGTGACTCTCGACTTTGAGTGCCTGCTCCTGACCCCCATTGCTGGGCATGTACCTGCTGGTCTCAAACAATGACGAGGGCCACGGACCCGTGACTTGGGCAGGTTGACACTAGTGTGGCCTTCAGGTCCTACCTGATGAGTGATGACTGTCCACGCTGTGCCCTTACCCTTCTCTTCACCCCATCCCCAGGGTGGCTACACAGTTTGAGGAAAATAAGATGTCTGCCAACAACTTGGGCATTGTGTTTGGACCAACGCTGCTGCGGCCACCAGATTGTCCTGGGACAGCTGGCACTGGTTCTGTTACCTGCCTCCTGGATTCTGGGCACCAGGCCCAGCTTGTCGAGTTCCTCATCGTGAACTATGAGCAGATCTTTGGGATGGACGAACTCCCCCTAGTCACTGAGCCCCCACCTCCAAACCCCAGCCCGGTCCCTGGGCCCCTCACAACCAGCTCCCAGCCACCAGCCTCATACCTTGCCCCAGATCCCCAGCCCCCAACCCTCCCCTCAGACCTGCGCCCAGATCCTGAGCCCCACGGTGCCCTGGACAAGCATCCCGAGGCTGCGACCCCCGAGGTAGGAACCTGCTGAGCCTAGGGGCAGGGGAGGGTCTTCTCTCCATTTAATCTTCTCACTCACTCTCCTTTCTTCCTTCCTTCCCCTTTAAAATTTTCTTTCATTCCTTTCTTCTTTAAAATATATATTTATTTTGAGAGAGACAGGGGAAGAGAGGGAGAGAAACATCCATGCGTGAGAGAGACATCTATCAGATATCTCTCTCTCGCCCCCAACTGGGGATCTGGCCTGAGACCCAGGCATGTACCCTGACTGGGAATCAAACTGAGGACCTTTTGCAGGCCAGTGCTCAATCTACTGAACCACGCCAGCCAGGGCATCATTCCTTTCTTATGTACCCTGTGCTCATTCTAGGAAGAGAAGTGAGGAATGGAGTGGGTGGGGGGGTAATAATGAAGTAACAACAGGATATAGCCCTACAGAGATACTAACATGGGTGATCATTTATTCCTCCAGCAGAATATTTATTGAACACCTACTATGTACCAAGCACTGTTCTAGGCGTTACATATACATCAGTGAGCAGAATATTCAAAGACCCCTTTCTCTTGGTGCCTACATTCTGGTGGAGAAGAAACCATTAATAAACAAGAAATACGATACAGAGTTAGTTCTATAGGATGTTACATGGTGACAAATATTGTGGAGAAAAGAAAAGGCAGCATATCAAAGGTAAGGGATATCAGGGGCACCGAGGTGAGAGGTAATGGACAGTTTATAGCAGAAAGTAGGGTGATGTGGACTTGTCTCAAGGTGGATTTGAGCAATGACTGGGAGAATGTCGAGGAGAAATAAGCCAGGTGGAGACCAGGAGAAGTGTGTTCCAGGCGAAGGGAATAGCCGATGCAAAGGCCATGAGGTGGGAGCGTGCCTGGGGTGTTCAAGGCACAGCTTCATCAGATTGTGACGAATGAAGAGAAGGTGGTCAGGATAAGAGCCGAAGAGCAGTCTGTGGGCTGGCACCAACTATGCATGGGCACTCATTAGGCTTCCTGTCAGTCTCCCCACAGCCCTGAGTCATAGACACTATTAGTGAAAAGCATTTACACGTGAGACTCCTAGGGAGGTTTCCCTGACCCTCATTCTCTGCTGTACCTGCCATTCCCGAGAGCACAGACCTCCTCCATGGAGGCCCCGGGCTGGGAGAGGGGCTGCCGGTGTGCGGCCGGACTCTGCGCGCTGGGGTGGCTCAGAAAGGGCTCAGGACAGTGTCTGACACATAGAAAGAACTCTCGCTGCTATTAGCATTTAGTTAAAGACAGAACAGTGAAAATATACAGCTAAAAAGCAGGCTTAATATGGCAGAGAATAGAGCAGAAAGGAGATTTACCTCATCCCTGTGTGGGGATGGTTAAGTCACAACCTGGCCTGGCCCTCTGCTGAGCCAAGGAGCCGCTGCCCTCACATCCCGCACCAAGACCAATGACAATGCCCTGCACAGCAGGACAAGCAATGCACTGTTAAGGGCGTTACCTCTCCCCAGACACCAAAACTACAAAGGAATTTGCAGATCCAGGAACAAGCCCTCAGTTCTCCAAGAGTCTCAAAGAACTGCGATTTCATTGTTAGGGTCTTGGTCTTGGGTTTCTCCCTACAGATTCCGACTCTACAGAGTGACCAGAAAGAAGTGGCCAAAGATAGGACAGATGAAAGAGGGGAAGGTGAGTGTGTTGGAGAGTAACCCAGGAGTTCTGTGGGTGCCCCTGCCGAGGATAGTTTGGCTGAGAGATGACTCCCTGGGGGGTGGGGACATCTAGAGGACTTGGGGATGCTCAGCAATGACCACCCCATTCCACAGTGTCCAGCCAAGACCCCGAGGACTCACTCCTGGGGACACAGTCCCGCAGCTACTTCAGCCGCCAGCCAGTGAAGTATCCCAGGGGAGGCATGCGACCTGTCACCCACCAGCTGTCCAGCTTGGCCCTGGTGGCTTCCAAATTGTGCGAGGAGACCCCTGTCACATCAGGGCCCCAGGGGAGCTTGCGGAGGAAGGGGCTAGGCCCTACTGCTGCTACCCCTGAGGACAGCCCCCTGCGCCGCACCACGCTGCCCAAGCATTTTGAGATTACCCAGGAGACAGCCCGGCTACTCTCCAAGCTGCACACAGAGGCTGTGCCCAAGGCCCCCTGCTGCCCGGCCCCCCAGCCTGAGGAGGAGGAAGCTGAGGACCATCTCTGACCACCCCAGCACTCTGACCAAGTGGCTCAAGACTGAGGAAATAGACCCACTTCTCCTAGAAGTTCAATGTTGGGGTTCTGGAGAGTTCCTATAAGGAAAAACCGCATGGCCTGGGGGAAGACCGAAACCCTTTTTGGCGCAATGTACCGGGCTCCCCCCACAAGACACAGGTCACTGTCAAGCATCAGGGCCACTCAGATTCAGAGGTCACTCAGGGCCAATACTCAGGTTCAGTATAGATCACAGGATCCTTGGGGTCCACCCTGGGATCCCCTGGGATCCTCTGACCCCTGGGACAGGGGTGCCTTTTGCTACTTCGGTTGTAGCCACTTCCCCACCTCCGCCTGCCTCCTTAGCTGACCGGAAGTGACCAGCTCTTAGAGTGGGAGAGCGACAGCTCAGACGAGACATCTGGAGGTGCCTGGGGTCTGACAGTCCCTGAATAAACTGTGTGTCTTTATGCCCTTGAGTGTCTTTCTTCGCCAGGTGAGGGCAGCATCCTCAGGCCCCATTTTACCCCTCAGGGAAACCGAGGCCCGCTCTCCTTGAGCGCCTGCGGGCAGGCAGTTGAGCTGGACATGGGCGCTGAGCTGAGTCACACTGCCCAGCCCTCCTCGAGCTCCGTGTCTCGGATCCGGTCCTGCATAATCAAATAGGACAAAGTGCAGATAACCGGGACAATGGGGCAGTGTTCTCTGGGCCGGGGCCGTGGGAGCGCAGGGCCGGCGCAGGCCTGGGCCGGGCAGGGGGCAGTGCCGCCAGGGACTGGGGGCGAGGGGGCGTGATTGCAAAAACCCTGAGTGCAGCTGGACGGTCGGGCGGGCCGAGGAGGTCCGCCGGGTAAGAGGTGGCGGCACGCGGTAGCTGCTGGCTAGGGAAGCCGCGGTGGGGCGGGGGTCCGGGCGGTGGGAGCCTGGTCGGATCAGGGCGTGGCTTGGAGCTCGGCGGCGGATTGGACGCGTGGGAGCGGGGTTGAGTGGGAGCGGGGGTGCGGACCCTGGGACCACCCGGCGCTGAGCCCGGGCAGCGTGAGGTCACGGCGGGAATTCTCCCGCCCCGACTGACTCAGCCGCCCCCAAGGCCCGAAACTGAGGTCGCGTAGGTGTGCAGGGGCGGGGAGGTGGTCTCGCCGGAAGTGGGGAGGAAATGGGGGGCTGAGGTTCCGGGCGACTCCAGCTTCTTTGGGCCGCAGAGGCCGGGCTCCCCCAGGTGGCGGGGGCGGGGCGCCGGGGCTGGGCTGGGACAGCGCGGTAGGGGCGGGACTCGCCTTCGGCGCTGTCTACGGCGCTAAGCGCCCCCAGACTCGCCACTTCCTACACGGTCGCTGGGCTATGGGCCTCTGACTCTGCCCTACCCCCTGTGAGGCCGTCCTGTCTGCGGCTTGACGGGTGGCCTAGGTGAGACTGGAATGGAGGGTGCGGGTGGACGCGAGTTCCCGGGAGGGTGGGGCAAGTGGCTTCGGGGGGCCGGGTGCTGCCCACTTCTCCCCTACCTACATCCTCCCTCAGCCTGGGGCTCCGGAAAGCCCCGCCAGCTGCCCCCTTTGACGCGGAGGCCAGCAGGGTCCTCCGTTCCACCCAGAATGGCCCGATACCCCGCCCGCTTCGGGAGCGCCCTTGCCCAAAGCCTGCCTCCCAACTTCTGGGGCTGGCTCGCTGCCTTCCCAGGTCTCCCCAGTCAGCTCCACACCCGAGCACCGACAGCCTGCAGGGTCCCAGCACTGATCCCGCCTTGCGCACTGGTGACTTCTGAGCTCTGCAATCTGCAGAGACCCCGACACCAAACGGACCTTCCCTCCCCTACTTTCACAGTTCACACCCCTTTGTCCCACCCTAGCCCCCACCACCGACAACACAGACTGAACACAAATTGGCAGCATGTGGGCAGATGGGTTTTGTTTTGTTTCTTTAAACTACAAAAGAAAACCAACTGGAAAAGAAAAAAGAAACCCAGCTAGTCGTTTGATTTGGGAGATACCTTTGTAACAGTCTTACTAGTAAATAAGCAACAGCTGATCCCCCCACCCCAACCCATAGAACTTGCTTTTCTAGGACACCCCGGTCCCCCCAAACACCACTTTGCCCAGAGGCATTTGAGTTTGAGAGCTTTGGCCTACCTGTCTCGACCCTATCCTCTGGGTGCTATACCTTTCTAGGTCCTTTGGATGATCTCCGCCTGCACTGACCTTCTCCTGTGTGCCTCCAGATAGGCCACCATGGGCCAGTGCTACTACAATGAGACCATCGGCTTCTTCTACAACAACAGTGGCAAGGAGCTGAGCTCCCACTGGCGGCCGAAGGATGTTGTTGTGGTGGCGCTGGGGTTGACCGTCAGTGTGCTGGTGCTGCTCACCAACCTATTGATCATCGCGGCCATCGCCTCTAACCGCCGCTTCCACCAGCCCATTTACTACCTGCTCGGCAACCTGGCTGCAGCCGACCTCTTCGCTGGTGTGGCCTACCTCTTCCTCATGTTCCACACTGGCCCGCGCACAGCCCAGCTCTCTCTCCTAGGCTGGTTTGTGCGGCAGGGTCTGCTGGACACAAGCCTGACTGCGTCAGTGGCCACACTGCTGGCTATTGCCGTGGAGCGACACCAGAGCGTGATGGCCGTGCAGCTGCACAGCCGCATGCCCCGCGGCCGTGTGGTCATGCTCATTGTGGGGGTGTGGGTAGCCGCCCTGGGGCTGGGGCTGCTGCCTGCCCACTCCTGGCACTGCCTCTGTGCCCTAGACAGCTGCTCACGCATGGCCCCCCTGCTCAGCCGCTCCTACCTGGCCGTCTGGGCTCTATCCAGCCTGCTCGTCTTCCTACTCATGGTGGCTGTCTATACCCGCATTTTCTTCTATGTTCGTGGGCGGGTACAGCGTATGGCAGGGCATGTCAGCTGCCACCCCCGCTACCGTGAGACCACGCTCAGCCTGGTCAAGACTGTTGTCATCATCCTGGGTGAGTGGAACTCTGATCCCCCCCAGCTCCTCCAAGATCTGGTGGAAAAGCATGATGGGAGGAGATGATTTGGGTGGGGAAGGTTCTCTAAGCGGTGATATCTGAGCAGAGACCTGAGTGCTGGGGAAAGGAAAAAAGTTCCAGGCAGAGGGAACAGAGAGCCCCAGACAGGACCAAGCAGGCCTCGAAGGGCACAGATAGAAGTCAGATTTTGTTCTGAATTCCGTGGAAGCCCTTAAGAGTTTTTGGCAGGGAATAACGTGGTCATTCTGGCAGTTGAAATGTAGGCTGGTCTGGGTGGGACAGGTGGCAGGAGACTGTCCCATTGGGATATACCCCCCACACACATAAGAACAAGGAGTGACTCTTCCCAATGATCGCCTTCCCCCCACTGGGTGACTGGCCTGTCCACAGTGACCTGCTATCCCCCACAGAACACACATCCACATAGAAACATCCAGGGCGCTGCCCACAGTGTACCAGTTAGGAAAGGAGTCCCTTCTGGCAAACAAGTTAGAGTAAAGAGTCCCTTCTTATCACACCTGCCCCATCACTCTGTGGAGGCAGCCAGACGAGCCTCTCTGGCACCGTAAACCACAGCTGTTGTCTGAGTTCTGGACACCCCTGCAGCCCTGAGTTCAGAGCTGTGGGTGCCAGGCTCCCTGACAGCTGGCCCTGCTCACCTTGGGCTTCATCCCACAGGGGCATTTGTGGTCTGCTGGACGCCGGGCCAGGTGGTGCTGCTCCTGGATGGTCTGGACTGCAAGTCTTGCAACGTCCTGGCTGTGGAGAAGTATTTCCTGCTCTTAGCCGAGGCCAACTCACTGGTCAACGCTGTGGTGTACTCCTGCCGTGATGCAGAGATGCGCCGCACCTTCCGCCGCCTCCTCTGCTGCCTGTGCCTCCGCCGGTCCACTGGTGATTCTCCCGGCTACACAGCCTCCACCCAAACAGGCGCCAACACTCGCATCATGCTTTCCAAGAATGGCCACCCCCTGATGGACTCCACCCTTTAGCCAACCTCGGACTTCAGTGGGGTGCAGCAAGTGCTGATTGCACCCCTGACCATTCGTGGATGTGCCTGGTTCAACCTAATCTGAGGGACAGAATTAAAGGCAGACCCTTGGTCTGGATGACACCAGAGCCCGGCCTCCCCAGACACACAACTCTGCCTGCTTCGGGGCCTGGGGGTGTGTGGTCATCTCCAGTGCCCAGGAGAGTGTCAGATGGGGTTCAGGAACTGGCTCTTCAATCGTCTCAGATTGTGGGGTTTTCAACAGACATTTTCCTGTTTCTACGCACCCCTGGTGCACCCTGTGGCTTGCTTCTTTGTGTGTGTTGGTGTGGGTTAAAGGTAAGAGAGGTGAGGACTCTCCGGCCACACTGCCGAAAATCATAAGGATGGATCATGGATGCGCCGTCTGCCTGAAGCTGCTTCTTCAGTGGCATGGGCTGAAGGGTGCTGAGCGAGAGCTGGGAAAGGTGTGTGGCCCCGTAAAGCCTCCGGGGCTTGCCTGTCCCTGCTGGACTTGAGGGTGTCCACGAGGAGGGCATGTTAAGAAGTAAACCTTTCTTTCTCCTCTGGGATTTCCAAAGCATTTTCTGTCATTAACTCAGTCTGTCACTGTGTCCCAGATTGTCCATCTCAGCTTTCCCTGGCAGGGACCCTTCAGCCCTGTTCTCACTCCCCTTCAGTCTCTGGCCAGTTGTTACTCCATCTGCCTTGGAGTTTTGCGTTTTGCGTCTGTTCCCTCGTGTCTGTCTTCTCTACTTGTTCCCCTGCTTCACTCCCGCCAGCTGCCTGTCTTCATCCTCTGGAGCCCAGAGGAGTCCATGGCCCACGTAAGTCCTCTCGTGCCTGCCCTTCTGTCCCAGTCCAGGTTAACAGTCAGGTGTGTTCATCCCGTTGCATGCCACACACCAGGGCCAGGGGTGGTGGGATCCGTGCAGCAGGGTGTCAGCTTTGAGTGTTGCCATTTCTCAAGCTCCTCTGACGTTGCCTGGCACACTGATAAGCACTTCAGGAGCATTATTTAATCATCACCTGCAAGCATTACACCTATTTCACGTGAGGACAGTGGCTCTGAGAGGCTGAGGTCTGGCCCATGGTTACACAGTTTTGAAGGGACACAGAGATGCATCCAGGGACTAGAGAGGCCCCTGGGGAAAGGGCTTCAGATTCCCACAAAGTATGGAATTGGTCACAGCTCAGCCTGGATTTTTTCTTTTTTTTTTCTTTTCTATTTTCCTTTTTTACTGTTTATTGACTTTAGAGAGAGGAGAGAGAGAAAGGAGAGAGAAAGAAACATCAGTTTCTTGTTCCAGTCATCTGTGCATTCATTGGTTGATTCTTGTATGTGCCCTGACCAGGGATCAAACCTACAACCTTGGCATATGGGGACAATGCTCCAACCAACTGAGCTAACCAGCCAGGACTCAGCCTAGCTTTTCCCACCTCACCACATAGTCCCTGAGGGCCTCAGATGGGTCAGACTCCTGATGATAATAAGTCCTGTCTCAGATGCTCATAGAGCTATCCCGCTAGGCATGGTATAGACCAGAATCTGGATTCTCTGCTTCCACCTAAGGAGACAGGGTTATGTCCCTACTTCAGGTTCACACACAGAATAACAGCCAAATGTGAAACCAGGCCTCCCAAAGAGGCCCAGTTCTTAAGCTACTAATGTAAACATTGCCAAAGAACCAAAAACATCTAGGTCCTGCCATGTTACATGCGGCTGGACTTCCCTTTGGGAGAACCCCCTGCCCTCAGGCAGCTTTGTGAGGAGGCAAGAATGAACTGGGGTGCTGGGTACTTCTCTAGGGCCCAAGGGGGGCAGCATGGCTCCTAGGGCCTGGGGCCTGAATATCCAGAGGTGGTGACCCAGACCAGCAGCTTCCACCATGTGCCTGGGTTCACGCCCATGAACGATGCAGTCCTGCCTCCACCGAGCTTTGGGCTTGCTGGGCAGACATATCACTGCAGGGGTCGAGGCAGCCAACAATTCCTATGACCTCCGAAAGACAGCTCTGTGTTTCGCCTGCTCTGAGCTGGCTGCTCTCACATCGGCATCCTCCAGGTCCTAATTCACATTCTGGGGTTCTGTCCCACCAGTTTTCCCCTCTCTTGTAGGTCTCTCTTCTCTACCAAGCTTTTGTCTCTGCTGGTCTTTTAAGCTTTCAAATCCCTATCCCCTACCGCATTCTCAGAAGGACACCAAAGTTCCCCACTATTTTCAGGCCTCCTGTGCAAGTGCTGTGCTAACAGCTGACCTTTCAATACAGAGCATTGGCTCTCAATGGCACCCACACATCTTCTAGTACTTCCTGTTATTGGGGCCAAGTGTCAACTCTCATCAGGAAGCCCTCAAGGTTGTTCTTACACAGCCCACATCACCCATTTCCATTCCCTGATGTCTCTTGGAGTCCCCCAATAAAATCACTCCACATGATTCTTGCATTTCCTCTCCTGCCCTGCCCGAGGGGTTGGCAGCCAGGCTTGACCAGGCTAGACCTTTTATGATCCTGTGCCTGGAGACTACCCTTAGAGCAAACATGCCCCAGGAGGTCCCATGGAGTTGGATAAGTAATTCTTGTCCAGTCTGTTCCTTTTCTCTCGAATGAGGAGCTGCTGTCTTGGGGTGCACCGCAGGGTGGGTCTTCCATTCATTAATTATCCATGTGGTAGTGCTTTCTAGACCTGGAATACTGCAGGGCAAGAGAATGAATAAACAAGAGAGAGGTCATGCTGAAGCCAGACCTTGAAAGGTAAATAGAACTGACTTACACAACTAAGAAAATGACTCAGTTCTAACCTCCCAGCCACCAGCAACACACACTTGTGACCCTCACGGAAAGCTTCCAGGCAAGAGCCAGAATGCAGGGAGCCCCATGACCCATCCGAAGGGGCTGAGGAGAGCTTTAGGGGACTGAGCAGGGGGCTGGGACTGAGCCTTCTGGAAATGAATTGGGGGGTGTTGATGGAGTCCAAGGGAGAGTCTGAGAAGGAAGGGATGGCTGGGAGGAAGAGTGGGCTGCCCTGAGAAGTGGGGACGCAGGGAAGTGTGGGTCCCTGAGGAGTGGGGGGCTCAGGTATGAAGTCCTCTGAAGAGGGGTAGGATCTCTGAACAGAAGGTACGGAGAAGAGTTGGGATCTCTGAAGCGGGGCAAAGCTGGCCTTGGCCTCTCTAGGGCTAGAGGATGGGGGTGGAGAATGCCGTTGCCTGGGCAAACCAACTGACTCCTGGCTATTGAGTGGGGCTGTTGGGGGCGTGTCCGTGGGCGGTGCTCCTCGGCCAGGGCCGCGGCGTTTGGCTGAAAGCGGCGGCGGGGGCTTGTCCAGGCGCGCGCAGTGCACACGTGGCCGAGGTTGGCTGCCAGGTCTGCGCAAGTTCTCTAGACCCGGTGGCCCCCCATCAGCACCCGCCGTGCCCCGCAGGCCCTGGACGCCCCAGACTCGGGCGACATCCTGCAGCAGATCACGTGCATCACCGACCAGAGCCTGGAGGAGGCGCAGGCCAGGTGCTGCAGGGGCTGGGCTGGCCGAGGGGCCGGGGGCTGCTGGTGTGGAGCAGAGGAGGGGCCAAGGTGACGGCGTGAAGTATCCGAGTCGGGAGGGCAGATGTTGGGCGGAGGGGTGGCGGGATAGGAGCTTGAGGAGAACGACGAAGGCATTTATGGGGTTGAAAGGGAACGGATTGAAAGGTTTATGGGGCTAAGCAGTGGGGTAGTGAGTTTTAGGAGCTCATCCTGGAGAGAGAAAGATGGGTTTAAGGGGAGTTTGTGGATAGGGAGGTTTATGGTGAAAGATGCTTTCAGGGTTTATGGAATTGTAAGGAGGTAAGAGGAGTGCTGAGGGTGTAAATGGATGGGTTGGTGGGATTCATGAAGTGGGAAGTTTTGAGGACAGGTAATGGTAAGCTGAGGCATGGGACTTGGGAATGAAGAGATGGGTGACTGAGTAGATGTGGCAACCATCAGGAAAAATGGTTAGTGGGGGAGTGGGGTGGAAGCCAGACAGGATCCCCCCTTTTAATTAATTTGGCAAATATTATTGGATACAATGTGCAGAGCACTGAACTGGCTGCTGGCAAAGTCCTAGTTCTCAAGCTCGTGGTTTGAGGGAGAACGCAAGTGCAAAAAAGTTACTGTAAACGGTGAGAAAAGCTGTAAGGAAGGGGGTGACATGCTGTGGGAAGCCAGGTGGAGATGGCGCGGCACCTGCAGAGGCCCTGAGGTGGGAAACAGAAGAAAGAAAGCAGAGTCAGAGACTGAAGGTCCACAGTTGAGTTTGGAGACAGGGTGGAACTGCATCCCAGTAGGTCTACAAGTCTCAGAAACAGTTTGGGTTTTATGCCAGTTGCAGTGGGAAAATCACAGCAATGATCAGACCCCTGCACAGCCCCATTTTCCTACACCCACCGCTGTCAGCCAGCCAGGATTGGCAAATGCTCCTCCAGAAGGCAGCCCATCGTGTCTGGGTTCTGCCCAAATTATTAGAAAATGGGAAAGGACTGAAGTCCTTTTGGAGGATAAGTTCTTGTTAAATGGGGGCCCGTTTGGGGGAGAAGAGTGGCCCCTGGGGTTGGGACCAGGGTCCAGTCGTGTAGCCTGTGCAGTCCATCACTGAAGCTTTCTGGAGAATAGGGGTCACAAGGCCAGTTGAACGGCAGCCCAAGGCAGTTTCACAAGCTCTGTCTGAAAAGTTAGGGGTGTCACCCCCCCACCACCACCATGTTTACTCTACTTTTTGAAGTACTGTGCTAGGTGCTAGAGAGGCCAAGATAGCTAAGAGAGCTCTGCCCTCTTGGGTCTCACTGAAAAGTAGAGTGTGTGGGATTATAAATAGCTGTCATATCAGGAATATTCTGAGTAGAGGTATTTCCTGGCACGAAAGAGCAGGGCTGGGAGAGGGCACCTTTGTGTGATTCACAATTTGCTGGGCTGGTCGGAGAGCAGGGGCCTTGTTGTACTTTCCTTCGTATTGCCGGGGCCTGGCACCTCGCAGTCATAAAGTTTGGTGGCATTTAGATTCTGGGAGGATTAGCCGGAGCTGGGGGAAGGGAAAGTGGACTGTTCGCCCTCAGAAACCACAGAGGCAGTGCTCTGGGTCTTCGAGTTCTTTCTGTTCCTTGGTGCAGGGTAGCTTGATAAGTGAGCTCCGCCCAGCGATGGCCTTCCTCAGGAGCCTATGGCCCCAGCACAGCCCCTGGCTGCTGCTGTTTTCCTGTAGCAATCCCTTGACACTCCCCTAGATAGGCTTCAGAATAAAATGCAATCAGTCACCTCTATCTGCTGTTCTTCAAGACAGCTCTTTTTCTTTCAAGGCTAAAAAAATGAATAGTGGAGCATTATATGTGCTTGACAACATGACTGTTAGGTATCTGGTTCCTGGTTTCTTACTGTGGCAGAAAGGCCTCTGGGGTTTTTATTTTGAGACTTAGATTCTTTGTTTGTTTGTTTGTTTGTTTGTTTTTAGAGAGGAAGGGAGGGAGAAAGAGGAAGAGAAACATCAATGTGTGGTTGCCTCTCATGCACCTCCTACTGAGGACCTGGCCCACAACCCAGGCATGTGCCCTGACTGGGAATTGAACCGGTGACCTTTTGGTTTGCAGTGCAGCACTCAATCCACAGAGCCACATCAGCCAGGGCTGTCCCCCTTCTTTGGATGTTGCGTTTAGATGAACTCAAGGCCCTAAAAGTCACCCAAGTCCAGACAACAATATTCAGTTCTCAGGGGGGCCACTTACTCTACTGTGCCAAGAACAGCCTGAGTGGGTCTTTTCCTCACAGTAAACTCTGCAGCGGGTAGGTTGTGTGTCTCCAGGTCAGCTGCTGGGGGGAGTGAGGCTTCTATAAGTCTTTCTGACCCTGTTCTCTCACAGTGTGCCTGCTGACCCCTTCTCAGTCCCTGGGGTCAGTTTTACTCAACTGGCTAGCAAGAAAGAATTTTTCCTCTCAGCTGTGAGGCCCTCTCAACCTGTTTTGTCACCATAAGTGTGAAAGCACACCTACTCTCCTTAAACCTAGATTCTTGTATCTTTCTGCATTATTAAGAAGGCAGCTCCAGCCCTGGCTGGTGTGGCTCAGTGGATTGAGTGCTGGCCTGCAAACCAAAAGGTCGCCTGTTCAATTCCCAGTCAGGGCACATGCCTGGGTTGCAGGCCAGGTCCCCAGTTGGGGGTGTGTGAGAGGCAACCGATCAATACATCTCTCACACATCAGTGTTTCTCTCCTTCTCTTTCTCCCTCCCTTCCCCTCTCTCTAAAAATAAATAAGAAAGGGGAAAGATTGTACTTAAATGACAATTTTAAAAAAGAAAGAAAATTACTATAAAAATATAAATAAACAAATATTTTTTAAAGGCAGCTCCAAGTTCTTATGCATAATTCATTCCTTCATTATAACTCAATAGTCTGAGGACAGTGAACTGTGTGTTGTTCTTCCTTCTGACTACACAGATAGTGGAGAGACACTGGGAACTTTGGGATGCACCTTCTTTGTTTAGATTCAGCCCAAGACAACTGGGGACTTCCTGTGTGAAAGGTGACCCTGGTCTCCTTGAATGGTCTTCTGACCTCCTTAGGCCATACCCTGAGCCCTTCCTGGAGAAGGGGCAGTTCCCCGTCTTCTCACTGGAACCTTTCACTGATCGTGTTCTCATTCATCTCTTGTATGGACCAGTAAGGCAGACTTTTATAACCCATTTGCCAAGGATTGTCTGAATATTTTGCTTTATCATGCATAGCCTTATCTTTTATAATAATATATTTTATGACATTTTACAGTTTACATAGTTATTTCATCTGCTTTTCTCAGCCACCTTTATGAGGGGTTTATGAGGGTTTCCAGACTAGGGTTGAGAGCTCCTCTGTTAGGATTGTCAAGCTCCAAAGTTCTTCCCACTTCTCAGGGTCCTTGGCCAGTGTTTCACTCTTGGGCCCTTTTGGAAATTTCTTGCCTGCCCTGGGCCCTCCTCCCGTCCCTTTGCAGCCTGGCCCTTTGCCATACCTTCAAGGGTCCTCAAGCCTCAGGTGCCCTAGAGCCTGGACTCCTCTGTCTAGTAGCAAATTTCTAAGGAGTCAGTATGAACACTCTAGAGCTAGGAATGGCTGAGGGGTGAGTTTTGGAAACCAGATCAAAAAGGGAAGCAGAATGGTCAGCAGTGTCACCCTGGAGACCCAGACTCCATACCTGCTGTTCTGGTAGAAGCAGCTGAAGAGGATTGACCCTTCTTCAAGTCATCCACGTGCTGCGAGGACAGGTGGGCTGTGTTGCAGGACTGACAGATTTGGCTGCAGTGGTTACTTCTTGACCCTTTGCTTGCAGGTGCACCCAGATACGCTAGAGAGTTGCACTGTCCATTGTGGTAGCCACTCACCACATGTCTTTTTAAATTAAAATGAATTATGCCCTGGCTGGTGTGGCTCAGTGGA